CCTGCTTTTAACACGAGCCCTGTCAAAATTTTCAGTCACAATTTTAGCCTGGTTTTCCCTTCAATATACACAGTCCTTGCATTTGGGAATTAGGTTAATGGCTGACATTTGGCTTCAGGTTAATGGATGAGATTCAGCTGGTGAGAATTGGCTGAATGCAGTTACCAGTCAACTAGGGATAGACCTTGTGGGTATACTATATTTTCTTTGTGTAATATGGGGGTTTAACATCATCCCTATAGCTTCTTCATTAGTACTGACAAGGGTTGTTATTTTAGCCAAATAATTCATGGAAGCCTAACAAAATTCATGCTTCTTAAAGGTTTTTTTTAAGGATGATGAATCATTGGGACTGTGATTTTCCTGTATTTTTCTTTATTTCTCTTTTCCATATCCCTTCTTTTTTACTTTCTTACAAGCATAAGACAAGATTTTTTCCTAGCTAAATGTGGTCAGATTATAAAATTTGTTAAATCCGTTTATGATCACAAATCACTAGATGGCAGTACTGCTGTTATTTTCACCTAATTGCACATGCTTCAATTTGCCTGTCTTAGAGTTTCTCCTTTGTCTCTTCAATTTATCAATACAAAATGTTCTAGTTTGCAAGAAGGCACAAAAGTCACTTCTGTAAGAAGTTAGGCTGAATTTTCAGGGACTACTTGCTGCAGACTATGTATTTGCAGCTTGAACTATGAAGAATTATTACTATCTATTTTTTTAAATCTCTGAAAAGACAGTCCAGTTCCACAGTCCAGTTCCACATCCAGCAGTCATTAAGGATTTGTAGGCTAAGCTTACTGGGGAACTTTTTCCCTGCAACTCCTCTAAGGAAGCTGAAAACCCTTATTGGAAACTTTGTTGAGGACTGAACACTGTTGGAAGTCTGTGGATTGCTTGCTTTTTTCCCCCATGTTCTTTTTCCACCCCAGTGCTTCCAAATTTCTCACATATAACTAGTTTCAGGTAGGCCATTTAGGTTCAAGTGTTAAACCATATAACCTGTAGGATCAGTTTTAATTATAGGTAGTGCTGGATTCTTTCAAAACAACGAATTATTAGCTTCCAATTACACCTGTTCTATTTTTTGCTTTCCTTTCCTTTTGTGCATTCTTTCCTCCCATGTCTTATCTTTCTCTTTAACCTTATTTCTTTAAATTATTTCTGGTTTTGCATGCAGCAGATGCAAACTACAACTGGCTTATGTTCAGTCTTGAGTGTACAGAACCCTGTTACACCCTGTTACATCTGTTAGTCCTGGCTAGGTCAGGACTTCATAGTCAGATTGATGGTTGTGTGAGGGGATGGGTAAACTAAAGAGAAAAAAAATGTAAGAGCATTTAGGCTTCAGGGTTCTCTAATTGGCATGGAGGTGGAAAGGGAAAGGGGAAAAAACAGAAGGAAAAAGTTGAGAGTGGGAGGAAAATACTATTGTATTGTATATTGTACAGCCTATTGTGGTTGTGTGTTATGTGGGAGAATAAAGGAATTTGTCTGCTCTTCCAGCAAAAGGTAGGGATAGGTCTTCTTTTCCCCAGGTAGTGGTGCAACCTAGTTGATTATAGCGGACAACATATGACAGAATATGGGATGTATTAGGGACAAAGGATAAAACTTATTCCAGAACAGAAAGTAGACAGCAGTATGATTCTGACTGGGCACCGCTCTGAGGGTAGCTAGCTTGCTGGGACACATTGCCTGGGAGTGCATACCTGGACCTGTAAAGTCCAAGGGAATGGAAATAGGCCCTACAACTGGCAGGATTCCTCTCTCAAGCTTCCATCTCCTGGCCAGGCTATATTTGCAGATAGTTGGCTTTCCCAGAGAGGCTTACAAGTGAGAGGAGAAGATGTGAAAATACCGATTTTTGCTTTCTTTAAATTAAAATTTTAAGTCAGTTCCATGAGGGGTTTTTATAATTGTATTTCAGCAACTGACTCATTTTTGCAAATTTGGCATTGCTGTTTCTGTTTAATGCTTTCTTCACTTTTCTCATTGTAAAGTTAATAGAGAAAGGTGACTAAAGAGTTATTTACATTTTTACTAATTTCTAACTTTATAGATGTCAGTTAGGTTACTTTTTGGGAGGTTGTGTCATCCCCAGTCCCCCTGTAATAGCTCTGTGAAGCTTTGAAACAGCTTTGTACAGAGTTTTTGAAAAGCCACTCAGTGGAACTTCTTCGGTCATTCTACATGGCTGCAGTATTTATTTTAAATAATAAGCACCTCTCAGCAGTTTTTAATCATGGCATTAGGTGAAATCAGGCAGCAGATTAAAAGAGCCTTGTTGAAATAAAACTTTTGCAGGAGGTTTTGGTCAGTCGTTACTTCAGTTGCACAATGGAAAATTCTTTCTTTCTTTACAGTGTGTAATTGGAAGAAGAATGACTTTAGAAATACTTCTATGAGGGGAATGTAAACTCCTGTAGCTTGATTAAAGAACAAAATCTTGTTACTGCAAATTCTTTCGCTTAGTGAAGTTTAACGGAAGACTGTACAGTTCCTTTCTAAGGGGTGAAGAGATGTACTTATTCTGCAAGGACAGTATTGACACAAGACATTGCCCACCAGGCGAATACTGACCCTTTCATCCCATCTGAAGAGAAGCTTTTAAATGAATTGAAGAGGTACTCAGAATCCCTCTGTCATAAGAGTTTTCATGAAAAGTGCTGCACATAAGCCACATTTACTTTCTTTCTGAGTCTGGGCTCAAATGTTTAATCTTTAATCACTTATGCAAAGCATTCTGGTTTGTCAGAGGGACTGTAATTTCTCCTGAGTGATTCTGATGGTTTTGAGACTCTTTGTAAGCCTGTCAAGACTAACTTCCTACTTCTTGGATTTTTTAATTTGGTTCTAACAGTAATTTTTCCACCATATTAAATTTAAAAGTTGTATATGTACTTAAAACAACAATGAGGCAATGGTGTGGGTTTGAAAGAGAGGAAAATAGCTGGTTTTTTATAAGTGGAGTTCTATTTATATACAAATGGGTATTTTTACTCAACGCATTATGTAAGCCTTTTCCTCCGTAAATTGTTAAAAGGAGTAAGCTCGCAGTCCTTGGTAGCTGTTGATGTAATGGGTATGGCGGAAACTGTTTGCATCTGTCTATTTTTCATACATATAATTACTTTATATAGGATTTTTATTTCATTACAATTTCTTTAGGAATTGTTACCTTAGGGAGTGGTACAAATTGTTGCTGTCTAGTTTACCAGACTTGGGAGGAAGCAGGGTTTGTTAGCTGCCTCTGTACAGAGAAACAAAAATCTACAGGTACTTTGCTTTTCTTCTCCTAAGCCCTTTTATATTAATTGAAGATTTTTAAATAAGTATAAGGCTTTACTTCTCCAGAATTAGTATATTTTAACTACTTACTCAAAGATGTTTAAAAAGGTACTTCCAACATAATCTAGCCTTCAAAATAAAAGCCAAATTTTTCAATTACTTTCACTTCTGATTATGTCACCAGAGCAGTATGGTATTTGGATTTTATCGTTGTCTTTGCTGGAAAACTTGTTCAGTGTAGATTAATTTCAGTGTAATTTTATTAATGGTGGAAGTGAATTTCAGCAGATTTCATTTGGCTTTCCTGGAGGTTTATTTAGCTGACCCCCAAATGCTTCCACTTCAAGGTAGCTGTACAAGGTCATGGTTAGAGCTTATGTCACAGAGTCAGGACTCCTGGTCTGTTGCCAGCTGTGCTGCTGTTTGCAGTGTTCAGCAAGGTGCATGTCCTCAGGTGTGATGCTCAGGAGCATCTGCTGAAGTGCTTAAGCCCAAGAGGGCTACAATTTCTTGGGTAGTCATGGTCCCCCACTGCCAGAAGGGAAGGACTTCAGCCCTCTGTCTTGCCTTATGCCACGTTTTGCCTCCTGTCATGCATCAGCTCTGAAAATAGCAGATCCTTGTTTGAGTTACTACAGCTCAATAATGCAGCAAAATACTACCCCGTAGTTATGTTTTTCTTGCAATGGAATATGGGTTTTGCAATGTGTAATTTCTTCTCTATTATTACTCATCTAAGTACCACCAGTATATATTGGAAGCAGTAACTGGGCATGCACAGTAAGCTTTTTAGAAAGTGGCTTGGAGTTTGAGGTATTATCACAGTGCTAAAAATAAAGGGAAGATACAGGAGACATACTGGATAATTATGTACTTGAGATCAGTCAATTTTTTCTTTTTTTTTTTTAGAGTTGACATTTGGATTACCTGCTCTGTTCAGGAATGTAAATCACTGTCTTGTGGCCTTTACATTATGATTCAAATTTTTTTCCCTTGTTTCTCAAGATATGCATTTTTTTTCTTGTCACAGCTTTTCATAGCTGAAGGAAAATGATGGAAGAGAGTGGAATAGAGTCAACTCCACCTGGCACACCTCCACCAAGCACAGCAGGGGCTGCTGCTGCTGCTACACCTGTCTCATTAGGTACAGAAACTTCCTAAGCAACTTGGCCATATTTTATCTTGTCTCTTGAAGTACAGCCATTCATCCAAAAATCTTGCAATCAGCATAATTACAGTGCTCTTCTCCAGACTAATTAGAAGAATTTAAATTGTTTCTTAATCATGGAAGTGTGCCTCTTATCTGACATGCATCTGAGATGCAGAATGTTTAAGCATTTTTTTATTCTTGAAACTTTTTTATGAAGTCATGTGGGTGCACTTGTGTTTTTTAAGGATGTGAGATGAGGGGAATAATACCTTCCACTACAGTGCACAGTTAGATGAGCAGCATAAAGGGAGTTAAAAATAAAATAAATTTACAGTCTTGTAGGGCATAGTGGTAAACCTAGATAATCACTTGTTTTTAGTATTGTGGGTGGTAGTCAAAGCACTTTATCTGATTTTTCAAGAATCTGAACACCATATTCTGAACACCAAATTTTTGATTTTCTGACACATATTGTTATCTTGAGTACAGTAGTGGAGTGGACGCCAGAGTGAGGAGCCCTTACCCCAGGGGATGTGCAAAGCAATCTGTTGAAGTGTGGGAAGAAAATACTAGAACTTCCATTAATATTTCTCTAAAAAATAAGAAAGAAATTAAGCTTTAATATTTAGTATATTGCTTGACACTGGTGTCCTCACTCAGTTGGTACGTATGTCAGACATTCACGTGTCCTGAGGGAAGAGTGGCTGTTCAACAGCGCAAAGGGGTTGATAGTGGCACCCTTGCTCGTTTGCTTACTTTCATCATACTGCGACACCTTGCAGTTTGTGTGCCTGCTTAAGTGGATTTATGGATTATGTTAGCTAGTTTTAACTATACTGACCCTCAAAAAATGGACAAGTAACTTAAAGATTGCTGCAAAGAGACCATGGGTTGAAAATACTGCTCATAATGCGAGCATGAGCAAACAACAAGAAAATGGAAGAGCTGACATTTCTTCAACTTCTAGTATGAGCTCTTTGCCATTGTTTTTACCTTGTAATATGTCTAACAGTCCAATCAGATCTGACAAAAAGTTGGCCAAAAAATTTTCAAAATTCAAGAGGACTATTTGTAATACAAATTTGTATCTGCCACTGTTAAAGATGAACCTTGCCCTAAGAGTGTATTGTGCCTTGAGATATTAGCTAAGGATAGTATAAAGCCACTAGCAAGACAACTAAAAACTAAGAACATGAAAACAACCTCTACTGTTTTTTTAATGTTTCAAGTCATACAGTACTGAATCCAGTACTTAAAAATTAGTTTTAAATTAAAAAATAATAAAATATTAATTAAACATTTCAGTAAATTTAATGATAAATCCTGGAAGCCCAAGATTCCTGACCTAACAGTGAGGACAAAAAGCCCTGTACATAGGGGAAACACTTGTTCTTCCTGACATGGTAAAAATGTTTGAAATAATACATGGAAAACAATATGGTGAAAAACTAAAATGCATTTGTCAGAAAATACTGTTGGAAGACACATAGAAAAACACTGCTGAGAATTTGAAGAAACAAGTATTGGAACAAATTACACAGCATGGAAGGTTTGCTCTTGAGTTGCCTGAAAGTACAGATGTTCCTAACATGTCTCAGCTTACGTTTTTGCTAAATTCTGTTTCAATCATAAAATACACAAGAACTACTTCATTGTCAAATGCTAAAGCAGGGATGTGCCAGAGAAGATATATCCTTAACAGTAAATGACTTCTCTGATAGAAGCAATGTTTTTATTAAAACTGAGTAGGTGTAACCACTGATGGAGCAGTTGCTTTCACTAGGATAAAAATGGATTCTGGAATAAGGTTACAGAGATATCACCACACAGGAAATTTATTCACCGCCTCATTCATGGGCAAGCTATTGCAGCAAAGAAGCTGGAGCCAGAAATGTTAGCAATGTGTTTAATTTTATAAAAATAATCTTTTAATAGTAAATTTTTTAACAATACTTTGTAATGAGATGGGGAGTCACCATGAAATTTTTTTGTATCGCACTGAGGTTTGCTGGTTGTCGTGTAGCAAGGTGTTTAAAAGTGTTGTTGAACTTAAAGATGACATGAACATTTTTCTTTTACAAAAAGACAAGTCTCCTAGATTTGCTGACATTTTCTGTGGTGTCTGTCAGTAGTGTGCTACCAAGTAGATACTTCAAAAAAAAAATATGCACTCATAATTTGTCCGTTTGACCTAAAGGTGATGATTCAACAAGGAATGATACAGTGACTACTTTTGTAAGAAAGTCATGCTTTTGAGAGAGCAGTTTGAAAATTGGTATTTGGAAATGTTTCCATCATTATTCAATCCTGTTGCGAAAACCAATAGAAGTCTCACATATAAAAGCTGTCAGCTCTGTACACATAAAATTGCAAAGAGAATTGTTTGACCTCTGTAAAACATCTTCCAAATGAAGAGTTTCAGTGGGTTTTGAACCTCTTTGTTAAAAATACCAAAGTGCAACACCTTCTTATTAGCTTGTACAAACAATTGATTGAAATCAGGGAAGATGGAAATTTGCTAGCTGAATTGCAAGAAAAACCTTTGCATAATTGGTTAGTGGGAGTGGAAAATTAATAGCATGATTTAGTAAGGACAGCCAACATCTTCCATTTGTATCTGTGTGTCTTTGAGGTATCTTTTCCAGCTATGATAACCATTAAAGCTAAATACTGCAATAATTTGAACATAGAACCAGACATTCAAATTGCTGTATCGTAAGGTGTTAAACCAAGATTTAAAAAGAGGCTTCTTCAACCACATTGTTCACACTAAAAATTATTATTAATAATTGTATTATGTAGTAAGTTAACCATTATTAACATACTATATTATTATACTAATGGTATATTAGTAAAACAATTTTTAAAGTTTTTGTACTGTTAATAAATTAAAAAATAATTTTTTCATTCATCTTATCTCATCCTTCTTTAATTTCTGTTGTGTATGTTTTATAATATACATAATACACTAGTACAGTGGTACCTGCAATTAATTTATAAATAAATTTACATAAATTGGGGGGGTGCATGCTCAAAACTTTTTTACTGCTAGATGTGTGCGATAAAGTTTGGAAACCAGTGTATTAGTGCAACTTGGCATATCATTTGACTGTCATTGATGTTTAGGCTGAGGCCAGTGAGATGCTTGAGCTGATCCAACAGCTTACTGCTATCAGAAATGGTCATTTCTGTTTTTCTCGCTGGCTAAAGTTAGTTTAGAGAGCAAAATTGGCTTATTCAAGGATCAGCTGAGGGCCAGACTGAAACAGAGAAAGCAGAGAGATTAGGAAGCTGGGTGCCAGGGAAGAGAGGGCTGCCTGCTGCTCAGCCCATCTGAAGTATATAGAACCATATATGAAGTAACTTTCACTCTTCCAGGTGAGCATATGTTTTATTCTTAAAGATGGGCACTTCTTCCTGCATCATCATTATTCCTGTTGATTAAGCAGTCACTCAGAGAGAACAGTACTAGCTAGAAATTCTGAGGCAGTCTTCAGCTGCTATAAATTCATAGCCAAATATTGACTCATCTTTTTAACCTTATGACAAATAGGGTCATGCAGGAAAAAGAGACGTGGCTTACAGGATACTATCACCAAAAATTGAGCACTGTTGGTGTTTGTTGTATGTAAACTCAAGCAGAACTAAAATTTGCTTTGAAGGGAAAAATGGAGATCAGGTCAAAACTTTTTGTGAAATATCTGAATAATGTGTACTTGTATCTCTGAGATGAAGGCTCAGCATTTCTAAAATTGTTTTTTTTCCTCTTATTTCCTAGCTTTGTCCAGTCCCCTTGCTACACCAAGCATGTCAACTCCTGCATACTCACCACCCTTGCCAGCTGGAGTGTCTCCACTTCCGCCTCCTATGATGACTTCGGCTTCTCTTCCACCTGTGCCTTCTGCAACAGTTTCTACTATTGCACCACCTCTGACTCCTGTCCCACCTCCTGTTGCCCCTTCAGCTTTTAGTACCTCCATGCCCCAGTTCTCTACACCTCCTCCATTAAGCTCTACTACTGGCCCTGGTCTTCCTGCGCCTCCCACTGGTCCCCCTATTTCAGGATTTTCCATGTCTTCAACCTATGACATTACCAGAGGTCATGCTGGTCGAGCACCACAGAGCCCACTGATGCCATCATTTTCTGCACCTGCAGTCACAGGTAACTATTTTGTTTGTATGCTTTTGTGTTTGTGAGACAGGATGTGGGAGCTCCTGGGTGGCTTTTTCCACTCCTTTTAGAAGAGTCCTGCAAGTTCATCTTTTTTAATTGTTCTGTGTACACTTAATTAATGTAGCTGCACTCAGAAGAAGGGAGAGTAGCCTTTAAAATACAGTCATTGTACAGGACAGAGAGTCCTCTTTAAGTAGAGTTCTGCTAGCAGTTGAGGCTGACTGAAGAATCTTTGTGTGAGAGCTTTGTTGTTTGTTAATCTTCACAGGAAAGCCCAGGTGAACATATATACATATCTTTTGTTTAGATCAGAGAGTCAACTTCAGCCATTATATTTCCACCGAATGATGTCTCAGGCTGTAATCTCACAATTGTCAGTTTTTTACTCTCAAAAGCTAGCTATAACAAGCTGTTCATCACATGACACCAGCTTCTATTTTCTTGTTTCCAGCCACTCTATTGCATTAGGACAGCTAGAATTACATACCTTCCATGCAAGCATTGCTGTAGTTGCTGAACTGATGTCACTTTCTGCTAGTGGAATGGAAACTTGGCTCTTCAACTGCAATTTGGACAGGCTTTTACTATTATTGGTGATACCTCTTAAGTAGTCTCTATTAGGAAAATGTCTAAAAAGACCTATCAATTGTGCAGTGTAAAATAAAAATAACTCTTGATTAAGGCTAGTGTTGGAAAATCTGTTAAAATAGGCTTGAGTAATGGGGCAAAGGCTCATGCTTAAATTTTCTACTGTTTGGATTTCTTTTGTTTTCCTTTAAAATATGTCAAGCTGTTAATATGCTTGCTCCTTTTTCTATTGCTACTAATTTCTAGTACTCGGGGTTAGAAAATTTCCTATTTCTCTCTCTTTTATTATGTATGAGAACATTCCTATCTCTTTATTCAAACACCCATTCCTCTTTTTCCTCTGCTGAGGGCTTACTATGAAAGTTTGGATACAATAAAAAGCACCGCTGTTAAACTAACCTGCTGAGAAAAAAAAAATGTTTAGTTCTATACATAATGTACAGGCAGTCTTGGTTCTATTAGCAGATATTGTTTATATATATTGTCTATAATTAATTTACAGTAGTTACATCTACTAACCTTTAACAAGCAGAATTGTTCTGGGGCCTTCAAGAAATGAAGTGAATCAGACCAGTATTATTCTGTTCTTCCTGCTCATTTTCCTGTTAAACAACTGCATGCAGCTGTAGTGTAACAAATTGAATGCAGTACAATAAATGAACACTTCTGTGTTATTTTTCCCTCTTACTAGGTGTTTTGGCAGATCCTATTACTCAACAAGCAACTTTCTCATCACCTTTGGCTCCTGGAACTGGTTCTGCGATCACTTTTCCTGAGGAACGTGAAGACCCCAGAGTATCTACTGCTCAAGGTGGAGCACCAGCTGGAGGACTGTGGGGTTTTATAAAGGTATGGAGTTTTGCCTGTTACCCTTCACAAAGAACTACCATTTTTTAGTGACTATAACAAGTCATGTCTTATTTTTTAAATGTGTATTACTATAAATCTTGTCTTTTCTCTGTCCTCATGTGCAAGGTGGCTGTTTTTAATAGTGGTGTTTACTGAAACTATGCTTTTGCTCTTCCTCTGTATAGAAGAGGGAGGACTAGACTAATGCAAATGTTCTAGGTAAAATTTAATGCTTGTAACAGGAAGATATGCACACCTAGTAGGTTCTGTCACATGTTCTTACATCAGTTGAAGCTTCAGAACCTCTTTAAGACCTGAAAGCTAATTTTTACTTCACAGCGACTGGATGCAGTCCATTTTACCTCACCACAATTCTTTGTATTTCCTGTTTCTTTATCATTCCCTAATGAATTGGATTTCTATGGAATGTAAGTCTTGCCTGTTCTATAACAAACAAGTCTCTTCAAGGACAGACAAATACATATTTCTTCCACCAAAGAACAGTTTACCTAAGAAGTGTCTTAAGATATTTTGTAGGATTTTTCTATTCTGCTGGAAGGCGTGGAGTATATAGCATGGAAGAGACGCTCCTTGTGGTGCGATCTAATTGTACAGAGGAAATAAGCAGCAACTAGTAGACTTTCATTATACTGTATGATTTTTAAAACTGTGACAAATGCTACATATAAGTAGCATCATGAAGATTGTGGTAAAAAGATCTAAGGACTGTGCATGAATGCTGAACTGTCTTCAAGAGCAACACCACTTTCTCTACTGTCTCATACTAAATGGGAAGATGAAGAATCAAGAAGATTGATGTCCCAATGGGATCACAGAGTTTTGGAGGGACTTTCAAGCCCTTTTGAACATGAAAAGCTGGGAGAAAAAGTTGTGTGACCTGGCAAACTGAGCCCTCCCTTATTCTAGAAATACAGATCTTGATGGTGATACAATCTTAATGAGCATACTTGCTCATCAGTACAGTCAGAGCACAGTTGTCACACCCTTTTCAAGGAGGGATGTCTTCTCGTGATCCTAAAAACACATCTTCTTTTCTCCTTTAAATAATAATGTCCTTTTCTCAGTCATCATATTACTCTTAATATTTACAATAGATGCTAATGTTCCAGAAGAGAACATTTTTCTTGTAACATGATTCTGTAGCCATTTTGAAAGTACCAGAGCTTGCAATTGCAAATTAGTTGAAAAGCCAATCTCATCCACATGATTGTTGCCTTTATACCAGTAGGATCCAAAAGATGTCCTGTTTCTATTTATGGAGAAAGCCTGTATCATTGACTTCAATAATAAAATCTAGATTTTTGTTGAAGTATTAAGCATTCCATGTGCCCTGTGTGTTCAGTGGCCTCTTTTTGAGAATATTCTAGGTGAAGAATGAGGAATCATTATTTATACTGAAGCCATCAAGTTCTTTATGTGTGTAAGCACACATTAGACTGTGTTTTTTAAAGGTCAGCCACAATGTGTGAGACTAACTGGTAATTATTACATGCATCACATCCTGGATTCCCTATTGAAGAGCTTACACAGTAGTTGCAGCAGTTATCTTTATTTCTGTTCTTGAAGTAGTTTGAAAAACCCTTTTTCTTCCGGTGTTTTTAAGAAACCATACACCTTTCTTCCAGATTTCCTTCAAGGTAGATAATACTCAAGACTGTGACAATCTAAAATTGACAAATTAATGGTCTAGAATTGAATGAGACAGTTTCATGTCCTTTGGTCTGTCAAAGGTGGCTGAGCAGTCTCATAGCAGTTACAAGACTGGTTTCTACATAATTTGTTAGAGGCAAAGCTGGATACTATTGCAGTCATTGCACCTGACAGCTTGCATATTTGATGGTTTGAGCAATTAAGACAGCCAGGACCTGAATATTCAAATGATTTGTGTTTGTGCTCTGCTAATGTGGAAGATTGTCTATTTGAGCAATTTGGATTTATGTTGACCCAGAATTGACTTGGAGAAATTCCAAACCGAACTGCATTATGGTTCATGGTTTTGTGATAACTTCATGTTTTGCATAGCTATAGAACTATAGATTATTTCTCCCTGCCTATGCTAGACTGATGAACATAAAGGCATATTCTGCAAGTAGAAGGAGCTTTTTAGTGCTGAGGAACCTTATTCTCTGCAGGAGATGTATAATGACTTTGTGGTAGTTAGACGGCCAGGCTGCTCATGGGAGAAGTACTGCTTGGCTTTGCATTGCTGGAAAGATGCTAGAACTGGAAATTCCTACTTAAAATATTTCTAAGGATCTCATAGCATTCACTCAGTTTTTGTTAAAACAACACACAAACCTCAAATTGTGAGAGAGCTGAAGGAGGAATATAAGTTTCTCTGTTCTTGATGGCATCCTGTGGTTACATGAGTAGTCACAAGAGTGTATGTATTACTCAGTGAATGCTACCATTCAGAAAAGTCTTGTATTATGTTCATGAGAAACAAGTGGCTACAGTGGTCTTTGGCTTGAAAAAGCTTAATTGTGCTGGAGTGAGTAATTGTTTTGTTTTCTTTACCAAATTCTATAGTCAGGCTTAGTTTTCTGCACAGTGGTGAGAGGAGTACCTGAACCCAGTAGTGAACTATTTCAGCATGAGGCATGGGATAAGATAATCATTATTAGTAGCTGTACAATATCTCAGTAGTTGTAGAAGTGTGGGGTTTTTTTTCTTTAAGCTTGCTACAAAGAAATAGAAAGCATTCAAAGGTTGGATGGGGCTTTGAGCAACCTGATCTAGTGGGAGGTATCTGTGTCCATAGGAGGGGGGTTGGAATTAAGTGATCTTTAAGGTCCCTTCCAACCCAAACCATTCTATGATCTGTGGGAATTAAGCTTTGCTGAGCAAAAGTATTCTGAGATAATTAAAACTACTCTGATTCTGCAGTTCTCTGAAATACTGTGTAGGTGTATTAAGCAAGCACTTTCTGGAAAAATGTACGTGCACAGTGCTGTCCTGTGTAATACTTTTTTTTTAGTGAAACAAATACAAACACAGGTGGTTTTAATAATAGCCTGAAAGCAGTCTGCTTACTGAAGAAATTTTATAATAGGTTTCTGAAAAATAGTTTCCAGTGCTTTATCTCTCAATGATTCAGCATTGGTATCTTTCTTATTTCACCCTGTGATCTTACCTGAATTTAAATAAACTTTTGATAAGACACAAGCAGTCATTAAGACTATTTGCAAGACACAGGGCAGTGTATTTATATTTAATGAACTTTTAGGTCTGTCAGGAGCTCCACCTGTGATTTGGCTGGAGAATGTAGAATGTTTTCCAGCAATGTTTAGAATCTGTTTATAACTTAAGGACTTCCAGCTCAGTTGCTCTAGAAATATTTGTTTAGTAATGGGCCATTCAAAAATAGATTCTATTGTTGTTAAGAAGGTTAGAAAAGAGAGACTCTTCGGCTTGAGTTATCACAGTCTAAATCTAGCTACCTAGTCTGATACCTATAATTAACATTGGGAATCTACAACTTTGCTAAATGCTTAAGGTTTCTGGTCCCAGAATATGCCTAGATCAAGTGTGTTGCCTACCACCACTGATAGGGCTGTTTCTGCATTAATGCAGACGAGGATGGTAAAGATTATATTTTAACTTTATGTTGTAACTGAAACATCATGCACTGATAGTCTTACCCTGTAGCATTTGTGCTGAGGAGTAAGATACAATAGATGTTACTAAGTATAGATGTGGTAAGAAAAGTGCACAGCAGCTTAATACTTGTTTTTTGTTTGCTTGTTTAACTGTAACATTTGGGGGGGGGGGGGGGGAGGAACCAGAAGATAATATGGAAATCTATTTGCTTAAACTTAGGGTGTAGCTGAGAATCCCATGGTGAAGTCTGTTCTTGATAAAACCAAACACTCAGTAGAGACCATGATAACAACGCTGGATCCTGGCATGGTTCCATATATCAGTAAGTATTTGTGACAAACCGTTAAGTAATACATGTAAATGTTAGAGAGCTTAATATAATAGCACACTACTTTTACACTTGAAGTTTGTAGACGCAGTGTGTTAATTCAAAGTTACAGTACTATACTGATTTCTCAAATGTATTATCTGCACGGAAGGCTGACTTTTTATGTGTGTCTTGAGGTCCATTTGACTTTTGTAGTCCAGTAGAGTTAGATAGTGGCGTAATAATACCCTTTAATTTAGATTGTGAAAGATGAGGAAGTTATAAGAAAAAAAGGTGATGATACCTTGTCTATAATCCTAAGTTGCATACTGTTTTCTCCTACTGTGTCTCTATTTACGCCTTATAGGGTTGGATTTAAAATATGCTGTATGTGTTCTGTTGGATCATAGGCTGTGCAAGCTATCACACTAAAGTTGAAACAAGCCAAAAGGCAGGCATACTCAGGGAGCTATAGGACAGAGGCTTTCTTCTGACTTTCAGCTGTTCCACTTTTCCAGCCTAATAGTGTTTATACCGTTTTGAGGAAATTCAGTAAGCCTGAAGCTGTTGCTGCATCAGTAGGAATGTTAAAGTTCTAAAATGGTCTAATGAAGTCTGAAGTATTGCTAAGCACTGAGCCTGGAAGGAAAAACATAGCATTTCAATTACATCTTGAAAGTTAATAGGAAGGAGAAGCACTGTGGTATTCACCGTTTTTTGTTTGACAGCTGTTCACTGGATTTTGTGAACTGCATCTGGAGTATTGTGTCCAGTTCTGGGCTCCCCAGTTCAAGAGAGACAGGGAACTTTGGAGAGAGCCCAACGGAGGGGTACGAGGATGATGAAGGGACTGAAACATCTCTCGTATGAGGGAAGGCTGAGAGACCTAGGGCTGTTTAGTCTGGAGGAGAGAAGACTGAGAGGGGACCTTATCAATCTCTATAAATATCTGAAGAGTGGCTGTCAGGAGGATGGAACCAGTCTCTTTTCAGTAGTGCCCAGTGGTAGGACGAGGGGCAATGGGCATAAACTGCAGCACAGGAAGTTCCATCTCAACGTGAGGAAAAAGTTCTTTACTGTGAGGGTGACAGAGCACTAGGACAGGCTGCCCAGAGAGGTTGTGGAGTCTCCTTCTCTGGAGACCTTCAAAACCCGACTGGATGTGTTCCTGTGCAATCTGCCCTAGGTGATCCTACCTTGGCAAGCGTGTTTGACCAGATGATCTTCAGAGGTCCCTTCCAACCCCTACTATTCTGTGATCTTGACATTCTGTGATCTGTGATCTTGGTCCCTTTCATACGGACGAGTTTGTGTGTCACACCAACATTCCTTACCACTTCCCAGAATATCAAAACATCTTTAGAAATGGATGTCCTGAGTTATTCTCCTAAATCCATGAATTGTCATCTTAAGTGTTATGCTCTTTTCATGTGCGGAGCAATCATCAGTTCCTGTTCTGTCTTTCATCCTTGAATCACTTAGCTATTCATCTAACTTTTACTTCCTAACTTAAGTTACTTCTGCTTCATGAAAAAACTTTTGTACAGTGCATGAGAAAGAGGAAAGAAACTGAAGCATACCCTTAAGATGTAGAATTTGTATTTGAACTAGCTTATAGTGGGAACGAGGAAAAATACATGCATATATATATGTATTTTGCAGAAACTGGGGGAGAACTTGACATAGTGGTTACGTCTAATAAAGAGGTAAAAGTCGCAGCAATTCGAGATGCCTTTCAAGAAGTCTTTGGAATGGCTGTTGTTACTGGAGAGGCTGCACAGTCTAACATCGCACCCCAACCTGTGGGCTATGCTGCAGGTTTAAAAGTAAGTTGATATTTAAGAGTACTAAAGTACTTCCAATGCAAAAAGAGAGTGTGGAAACATTTCCCAGAAGAATCTGTTTTCCCATAAAGGGAAAACCAATTTGTGGGATAGGTAAACGTTTCCTTTTTTTTTTAATTGCCATCTGGGTCATTAGATCAGTTTAAAGCTGCTTGTTGAAATAGTTTTTGGGGTTTTTGCAAACACAATCACAGCAAATGAAGACCATTTATGTCAGTTTTCTTATGCTGTCATTGATTGCTATCACATCTAGCATATATTATGATATTACTGTAGTTTCAAAGTATATCAGGCATTTCTTCTTAGTCTATTACTAGCACACCTTGTTGGGAATGTTAGAAATTAAAAGCGACTCTTTGGGGCTGAGTTGTCTCCCCATTAATTCTGTAGATCAAAGATAGTTTGATCACCACTTCTCAGGGATCTTCATGAACAGATCTATGTTAGATGTAAAAAGTAAGAATTTAGTGTGCAGCTTTGCAAACAGCTGGGCTGGCCCAGAGGAAGGATTAGCAAAGGTTGTTTCACCAGACTTAAATATACAGGTTTGTCAGGTGTATCTATGTGCAACCATCTCTTTGGCCAATAACTAAAAACCCTGAAAACAACTATTTCGTGTTCTGTTTCTTCAATGTAAGCAAATAATTTATTCATTAAAAAGGAATTATTTTCTCCTAACTGCTGTGGTGGTGTTCACAGCTGAATAAAGCATATCAACAATACATTAGCTAATACAATTTTATACTGAGGTGGAGGAGGACAATGTATATGTTCCTTTACCTGTTTAGCTACTGCAGTGTAGCAGTAGTAGTATTTCTGTAACAACTTCAGAGTGATAACAGGTTTGGAGCAAATGATACCTACGTTTTAGTTATATAGGTACCACAACAAAGAGATTCTCTCTGTTTTTCTTAGAGTTGGTCCAAAGCTCTTAAAGGATCTAAATCCAACAAATCTTAAGCTGCAAAAATGTCAGTGTGAGTAACAGAAACATATAGTGATGCTTTAACTAATAGTGAAACTTGGCACAGTTACAAGTTAGGTATTCTTTGCATGCTAATCTAGGTCTTTTTCATGGAAAAATAACAAATTAAAAATATTTAATTAGTTTTATCATAGCTTTTGTTACTGTTCGGGAATCCGTAACGGCTTTTCATGAGTTCTTTGTTTTTCTAACATAGAAATGAGAGTAATTTTCAAAATCTCTCATATTTTCTGTTTATCTTGAAAAGTATGTTCTAGAGTTCTTTTTGCATTCATCTTTAAATATTGTACTATGTTGTGATTCAAAGAGCATGTTGTCTAATAGCTTATGTTACCATTTAGGGAGCCCAAGAAAGGATAGACAGCTTGCGTCGGACAGGAGTAATACATGAAAAACAGCCTGCTGTATCAGTAGAAAACTTCATTGAGGAATTGCTTCCTGACAAGTGAGAACTTTAAATATATTTGGGGCGGGGTGGGGGAGGAATATTCTTTGACTCAGAGGGGCCTATAAAGAGTTGCTGGCAGTATCACTCTGGGCAGAAGAAAGAAGAGAGTCTCTCTTCAGTATTACTTTGGCAGACTTGATTTTGGTGATGTTCAACTTTTTGTCCAGACATCTTGAGACTTCAATGTACAAAAACTTCTCAGGTTTTTCAAGATTCACAATATAAAAAAGCAATGAAGTTATACTGAACTGACAAAATTAAGGAGCTGTAAAAGTTGGAATTTGGCTAGTAGTTTGCTCACTCTTGTGTGTGCACTCTCTTTTCTTTCTCTGAAACTGTATGCAGTTCAAAGTGTATTACTGCATAGGTCAGAACATCTTCCAGTATGAGTTTATCACATATAATATACTATCCATTTTCCCTTCACCGAGAATATCCTTACTACTTTTAATTTGCACTGCACAGACATAAAAATGGTGTTTTCAAATACATTACAATTTGATTTTTTAACATGCTTTTTGACAGACAGTTCTTGAAGTAACTGTCATTAATTATAATAAATATACCTTATAATATAATATAA